AACGGCACACATGCAATCAATCTGTTTAGCACATTGACTTACAATTATATGGACGTCGGATCCGCGCTAAAAAGTGTCCGCACTTGTAAGGCGCTAAAATCGTATACAGAGCGCGACACTCCGCTTTAGTCTTCATTTGTTCTACTGACAGCGCGATACTGCGATGACATTACAATTTAAATTTCGAATAGGTTGACTTGGGACATTTTTTTCGTGGTTTTTGTATTAGATCCGTCGTCCATTTATTTGTAAGTCAATAAATGGCACAGTCAATTATCTGATCAAGTGTGAGTTGTGCATGAAAATGAATAAAATTGATTATTTTTTTAAGACTCAGTTTCTTTAAGAGTTATTTTATTGTATTGGATGAAAAGAACCGGGACAGCAGAAGTTAATCAAATTTAACAAAAAAGTTTTTTATTCATATTGCGTGAAAAAAACTACGACCACGTAGAAAAGTTGGTTTTACACACTGACCTGCAGGTCGATTCAAAACTTTACGGTAACTCTGTTGTCGACCAATTCGATTAGATATCGAACGATTTATTTTAATTTTTATTTACAATAATAGAATCGAACGTGAAACTGTCGTATTTGAAACCGAAATGACGTCACACTCGTACGAATACTCGAACTTCTCGACCGGCAAAGACAAACGTTATTAAGACCACAGTTATCGAATGAAAGTTACCGAACGTCCTATTGTTTACAAAGCAAGAATGTAATATGAAAATCTTTTATTATGTTAAATAAAATATGGATTTTGTTCAATTTTATTATTTTATTTTTAATTTTTATTTTTAAATTTATTATTTTATCTTAAAAATGTATATAAAAGGATTTCATTTTTCTTATTATCTATATTCGCCGACCAACTCCGTGAACGTTGTTAGATAACGATATCGTATCCGAATCAGGAGGAGAGTAGACCCCTACTCTCTATCTCCGTCAGACATCCGTCCGAAACAAGTACTGTCAATTAAGTAATATTCGACAAAATTAAAAGACAAGCATCAAGTATGAAGCTTGATTTGCATCACGCGTCTTTTCATTTGGTCAAGTATTGCTTATGTGGCAGTAATTGTTTCGGACGGAGATCGATAGTAGACCCCTAGAATCGAACGTTTTAACTCGAATGTACTCGAAATAGCTCGGAAAGCGCTCTTCGATTCGAGAACGTTATCCAATCGAACGATTCGGATAAGATATCGAAGAGTTTTGAATCGAGGACCTGGCTGGGGATCGAACGCCGTGAAAACCGGTGTGCGAACCAACCAACTGCGGAATTAGTCAAATATAATTGTTCAGGTACGCTAGTATTGCATATTATCTGCCTCTGTCGTCGAACGGTTACCGTGCTATGCCACGCAGAGGTCCCAGGTTCGATATCCGGGCCGGGAGAAATATTTCTAAGGCCTTCATTTATTTCTCTCGTGAGTTCGGGTGTAATTTGTGATTGTCTATGTGTGTGTCCATGGCACCCGCGACACAGGGTTTCTCTAGTGTGGGCTATGTTGAGTGTGTGCGTTAATATTGTTATGTATTTAGGTAGTACAACAAAGTGTAATAATGACGGAATAATTTACGATAAAGACCTGTTAAATCCTTTATTTTGTCTGACAGATCTAATCTTTATTATTACAGATTTAAATACAATAATACTATAACAAAATTAAATTAGATAAAGATACTATAATAACATTATAAAACAAGGAAATACTTTCAATATTATGAGAAGTTTTTGGTAAATATTCTTTCTGATATGATCATCCAGCGGACACCCGAAATATTAGTTTTAAAGTCAAAGTCAGTTATTTATTCCATATGCAAAACTTTTACACTTGAAAGCGTCATTTTCTAAGCTACTGCTCGTTGACTAGGCTGACTTCCTTGAGAAGAACAATGCGTGGAATAAAAATACCGCCTTAGCCAAAAGTATTAAGCACCCCAAGAATTTCCCTTTCTGTTTAAAGGTTATTTTTTCGGCATCCAAAAACAGGTCGTCCAAGGTATTCCGCGCTATAGTTGGCCACGCTAGTGTCTGCTAGTGTACTGTACGTACAAAGAGCTGTTCGTGATAACTATCACGAATTAAAAAAGTGTTGGCCCAACGGCTTGCAGTGTGGATATTGCAGGCTGTATAAGGATGTTCCGGGTTCGGTTTTCGGTGGGACCAATTTGGAAATTAACTTTTGTAAAATGTTTCTGGTCAAAGTTACAGGATATAAGGTATTGTTTGTGGTGCCTTGTGGAAATTCCTTGGTTATAGGGACCAGGTAATTTGGTGTACCACACACTAATACGTAAACGTTTGGCATATAATTTGGACCATGACCCGTTACCTACAGCTCTTGTCACTACCACTGTATTAATTGGGCTGTACATAATGATCAATATGATAAAAATATTATTTTTCGTTTGGTATAATGTCAGATATTAGTGATATTTAACATAATTTCAAGGGATATAATCACTCATGGAGCTTAATTAATAAGTATAACAATCTATAACAATCAATAATATACTTTCAATGCGTATGATAAACCTTTATTAACGAGTTTGGGACCGGGTAGGTACACGGCGTAGAAATCTTCCATCCGCGCAAAGGCGTACACGAGTACTCCGTGCCTTTGTTTTGGTTGTGTTGGACGCGTGGACGCTGCTGCTCTGTGATTGGCCAATGGTGCTGTCCTCCACAAACGTTCCCTGTTGCTTGCGTGGAAATATTGCTTGCTAGATATCAAACGCACTCAACGCAAAGAAATTCAACGCGGCAAACATAGTCAATTAACGAAATAAGGATTACCACTATGGTGTATTGTAACATTATTTCGTAATTGAAATAGTTTAAGCGCCTAAGTTAAAAAAATAGCAATTTAGCATAGGCGCTTCGTCTGTGTCCAGACCGCTACACGCTTGCTTCGCTTGTTCGCGTCTCGAAATCAGATGGGTTTCTGAGCGAGAAGATGAACCTGACTACTACTGTATCTTTCTAATTTGTGAGTTAAATCAACTATAGTTCCGATTAGAAATGTCAAAAGTATCCGGTCGGCCAGTTATGAATCGCAATTATGCGCCTCGACTCGGAGAACACGCAGTTTCTGATCGGGAGAGGCAATCAAAGTCAAGCTGCTGGTCACACGTGTAACCTCTCAGGGGAAGTATTAGTTCTACAAGACTAATTTTGAATAAAAAACCGTACCGTAATAATAATTCTTTATTGGACATTAAAAATTACAATGCCTACATATTACAGAACAGTAGTAGAAAGCACAAAGGGCACAAGTTAACAGCGCACCCCGCAATAAGACAACTAAAATAAGTCTTATTTTCACTATTACATGAGCCAATTAGTGCAAACACTCAGTAGTTTTTTCAAATTTGTAACGTTATTAAGTTATAAAACATTATTAATTTGTAAAACATTATTGAAATAGGTATTTAGAAAAATGAATTAGATTATCAGAAACATTATTAA